CGGCGGTTTGCCAGCCTCAGGAATTGCGGTTACTTCCCAGTAAAGGAAGCGCCCTATCTGACCGTCTCCTGCTCACAACCAGTCTTTGTGAGTCACACACCAGGGACAGGAGCTACTTGACTCTTACTGGAGCGACCTTACTGCTCTGATGACAGTTGTGTGCACTGTTGCTGATGGACACATTGAATCGTTCATGCTACCAAGACTGGTCCTTAGGGCCTTGCCCCAGCCGCCCTGGGAATCCACCCACGAGGTGGCTTGTCCCTTCTCTGCTCATCCTTCAACTCATGAGCTTTAGGAGGAAATGCTGTGTCACAGAGCAGTGCAGCATTCAGAGATGCTAAATGAAGGTTCCTGATCTTCTCAGTTATCTAGTTCATCCCTCGAACTGCAGACAAAGTTTGAGGCCTGGAGGAGGGAAGTGATTTGCCCAAAGTCACACAACTCTGTGGAGGCAGAGGTCGTAGCAGAAGCCAAGTCATTTCCATGTGACTTTGGGTCATGACATGCTTTAAAATGGCAGCTTTCTCCTTCTCCTTGTTGCTCTTGGCTTGAGGTTAGCAGTGGAGTGTGCATGCTCAAGCAAGAGCTGACAGGGACAGATGACTGGGCCATTTAAAATAACTAAATAGCTGAGAGGTGCCAGTGGATGGTGCAAATCGCAGTTGGCTGTTTCTTGAGCAGTCAGCTAAATGTCTTTTTTAAAATACAGGCCAAAGACTGGCTGGGGCTGAAGGACCAGGAGGCAGAGGTTGCTGGCGGGGAGAGTTCTAGGCTGATTCCATGTTCCTCAATTCGGTGTCTGCGTCAAAGGTGCAAGGGTGACAAGCAGCAGCCAGTGTGAATGATAGTTGTTAGGGAAATACACTTTCCCAGTGCTCAAGTACCCCCAGTTTACAGCAAGATGTTTAGAGGTCCCGCTTTAATGAGAAGATGATCGTGCAAATGGGAGCTACTAAGGCACATTGAGCAGATTGCTCTTTGGGAAATTACACTTGCCCCCCACTATCTTGTTTTCCATCATTTATTTGCCTAACAATCTCAACGGAGACGTGGGGCAGATGTTACTCCCAGCGCCCAGTTGGGAGCGCAGATTCTGATTTTCGCGGGATCTCTGCACGTCTCCCTGAACTGCTTCTCTTTCTGTGTCTAGTAGGTTAGTTCCTTCTGAGCAACAATGTTTTTCTAGCAGCAAAGCTGCCTTCTTTGAACTACACTTGAAAAGAAACTTTCAAAGGCCCCACCAGCCTCCCCAAACACCTCTTTCCAAAGGAAGCCGGCCTTCCTCCTCCTTGGCACCCCCTCCTCTCAGTCTGAGGCTTCTGCTCCAAGGCAGTGGCTTCAGGAGCAAGATGGAGGGGAGGATGGAGGTCAGCTCCCCAGCCCCAGCTGCCTTATTGATAACAGATTGTCCCGAATTGCCAAAAGGAGTTTTCTGATGTGTGATCTGGTTCCAGTTCTGATTTGTGACCTGTCCCGATTGTTGAAGTCACACATCTTGATTTTTTTCTCTTCCTTTCTTGGAACTGGTGTTTAGAGCTTGTTTGAGTTGGATCGAATGCTGTTTTAACAGCTGTTCTAATCGGAAATGCTGTCAATTATTAACCCTGATATGGTAGTTTTTCCTTTAAAAATACTTCTCTGAGCTCTCAAAAAATTTGGCTTCTTGGTAGGAGGTCGTTTAGAGAAGTTCCTTAATTGTTGGGCATCAGTTTACCCATCTGAAAAATGGAGGTTTTCTTAAGTGCGTTCTCCATAGGGTTACCGGTGAGCTTGCACATGTGAAATGCTTGCAACAGCTGGGTGGGCCGAAGCTAGCTAGCCTTCATTATCTCTGTTGCTGTTAAGAGGCTGTTCTGTCCAGCCAGCTTCCTTGGCCACCGCCCCTACCTTCAAAAAAATAAATAAGTAAATATTTTCAAAAATTGGTGAACACAGTCCTATTCATTCTTGGACTCACTCATGCCCTGAGCCCTATCTCAGGGCTGGAGAAACCAGCGGGGATTGCTGCTCACCAGCAGACAACGGCAGTTACATACAGCTGAGACGGATGGGATTTGCCTGCTCTCGCCACCCCCATGTTTTCCGGAAAAGAACACAGACCCCTGGACAGGGAAGCCCTGGTTTATTACAAAAGCTGTCCCAAGCATAAAACCCCTCCTTCCCTCAGCCCATCCCCCAGCCCTACACAACCCAGGCTCATGACAAACCAGCATCCTTCCTGCCGGCAGCAGGCCTGCCTCTGAGTTTGGACCCCAGGATCAGGCCCAGATGCTGACGGCCAGGCCTCCTGAAGGAGGCCTGTGGAGTTGTTCATATTGCCCTTGCTTTGTGGAGTTGTTCATATTGCCCTTGCTTGATGTTTGTGGTGTTGGAACGGTAAAGGAGGCAAGAACTGGTTTTGGTGGGCGAGAGGGAATTTGCTCTGAGCTGTGCGCAGGCTTTCTGAGCCACTCAGTGGGCACCAAGTCTGGTGGCATGAAATCAGGCAGGTCCCTTTTTCTTATTCGGAACGAGCTCACTTAGGGTCACATGTTTGCTCGAGGTTATGAGGAAGGAGGTCTGTTTTACTTTTTTCCTTTTACTGCTGAGGCCCTGACACTTGACCTGTTTGCTAGAGAAAATAGACAACAGCTGGGAGTCCTTCTGTACCTGCCCACCCAGGAGACCAAGTTGTAGTTGTAGTCTTAATTGTAGCGAGATCCAAGTGACCAGGAGGATGCAAAACCTGCCGCCTGCCTCCCTGAGTGTGGGCACAGACAGCTGTTGGTCTGGCCTGCTTACTCTATCTCACCCTGTTGGTGAGAGGCATGGGCCACCACCTTCCTGACCTCCCAGTTACAAGTCACCACTCCATGCCCCGGCCTCCACCCCCCATCCCAATAGGTACTGCCTGCACTGGAGGAGATCGAGTTATGGGGCGCCTGCAAGGTGCGTTCTTGAAAAATACATATGGAGAGGCTGGTGAGATTCTTTCAGCCAAACATTTTATTGAGCACTTGGTATGTGCTAAACTCTGTGATGCTCGTCATTTAAGGCAAAGGCTTTGGACCAATACAGTTCCCAAGCAGTGAAGCTGGCTCGGTTAGTTTATCAGTAGTTCTGGGTTTTTTTTGGTTTAATGTGCCTTTCTATTCTTTCTTGGCACACAAACATGTGACAGTTGAATGACTGTTACTCTGTGCAGCTTTAGGTTGAGATGCAGACCTGCTGTTTCTTGCCATCCTGCCATAGCCAATTCTGACTCCAAGACTTCATTCCTTTTGCAGTTTATTTGAGGGAGAAAAAAACAGAAACGAGACGCACCCTGTTTGGGAGTAGAATTCTTCTCATCTAGCTGGATTAATAATTTATGCAATAATAATTTGGTAACCTTCCCAGGGTCTTGTAGTATGCATGATGGACATCACATGGGTAGAGGCCAGGATGCTGCTAAAAACCCTAACAATGAACAGAACTGCCTCCCACATATAACAGAATTATCTGGCCCCAAAGTCCGTAGTAATGAGGCTGAGCAACCCAGATGTGCCAGGTCCTTGCTAGAGTATGCCTCAAATGTAAAGCCCCGTGAGTCTCGGCTGGTGGTGCCACCCCAACCCCCAAATTTGAGAGTGAGGACCGTTAACACTCATTTGGTCTGGGAAACTATGGATGGTCCTTTAGAGAAAAGAAATGCTCCATCCACATGCCAACAGGGGTGCCTGCTGGGAAACAAGAACCTTGTTCTCGAGGCTAACGGAGTGTACCAGGCAGGGGACAGAATCCCTGATCTCCACTCTGGAGCATAGGGCTGCCAGTGTGCACCAGGTTCCTCCTGCAACCAGCAGCATCCTCACTGTGTTGGGGTTGGAGGAAGGTGGGGGGGTTGTGTGCTGCTAGGACACCCCCCCCCCCACACCAGAATTTTCATGAGGTCCAGGAAGGCTTCAGAGAACATTGTTTTTATTCTGAGAGCACAAGGATTTCTCATCCAAAATCATTTGACATGCAGATGATCAGAGATTCCGAAGGCTGTTGTCATGGTTTTTGTCTTTGAAAGATTGCTATGTGCTGAAGCAAGCTTTGAAGCCAGCCCTGGGACCTCAGTCCTGGCGGCCTCAGGATTCAGCATGAGATAAGAAAAGCAATTCTGAGCCTTGTCTCTCCGTGGTTCTGGGCTTTCCTATCAGTGGACTCGGTTAACCATTTAGCACCAATGTCTTTTCTTTTCTAACTACTTTTGATCCCAGGTTCACCCCGGACAGGTGGCAGAAACAGTTGATGTTTTCTGAATGTGATCTTTGCTGGAGCGTTAGGTGGTGGGGTAGGACTTGATCTGTCTTTCTATGATCAATTTATATGAGGCTTAGGGATCTCCTGAGTAGCTTCTTGGAGAAGAAAATGCCTTATACCACCCCCCGCAAAAAAAAAAAAAAAAAAAAAAAAAGCTTAATGGTGGGATTTGAGGCTGGAAGGCTTATACTACTTGGCAGATGGTTTTGGGGACTGGTCTGGTGGGAGAGAGATGGCAGTGAACAGTGGGGGGAGTGTGAGGGAGAACCCTCAATGCCACCATAATCTCTGTGAGAGGCTGGCCACAAGGAACCTTTTGGCTTATGCAGCTGGGGACTTCCAGTCATCCAAGCCTTAGGCAGCTGAGAGCCCGTCTTGCAGTTACCTTCGGCCATGGCAGTTCCTCCGGCATCACACTGCCCTTCACTCGTGTAATAGGTTTCACTGGGTGCAAGGCAGGGGGCTGTTTGTGTTTTGTCATATTGTGAACCAAATGTAAGCCACCACCTGTAGGGAGCATGCTCCCAAACGCGCCTGCATTTGGGAGCATACCTCAAATATGGGCTGCCTGGCTGGGAGTTGGAGGGGATTTCTTGGTTCTGTGGATTGAGGGCGGCCTCAATCCATTACGGGTGTCTGTGGCTTGGGGCATTTGCACTTCCACTGTCTTGACATTTCAGTGGCTTATGAGTTCACCTGAGTTTTATGCGGTCTCTTTTCTTTCGCAGACAGAGATTGCGAAGAGACTGAACACGATTTTAGCACAGATAATGCCTTTCCTGTCACAAGAGGTAAGTCATTCTTTTACTATCTCTCTCTATTTTATTTTATTTTTTAAAGATTTATTTATTTATACAAGAACTGGGGTACAGGTCAGAGGTGCGGGAGGGTGAGAGAATTCACCAGAGAGAGCAGGGAGCAGAACAGGCAGATGGACCGAAGACACTGCTGAGGGGAGCAGTGGGTGAGACAGGAGAGGTCTGCTGCACCATGTGGGTTTCTCCCTGGCTGGCCGGGAATCAAACCTGTGCTGCAGAGGCTGCACACAGCTTCACAGCGCAGTGCTCAACCTGCTGCGCCACCGGAGAGGCCCTCTCTTCCTTTTTAAAAGATTTTATTATTTATGCATAGAAGAGCTGTGTGTAGGCCAGCCCCGGCGGAGGGAGGTAGTTGACTTTTAGGCATCTTTTGGCTCATAACTTAAAATAAAGGAAGTTTTGATTACAAAAGTAATATCTGCTCACTAAAAAAGGTTTAAAGAAGAAAGTGAAAAGTGCCCCCTGCCCATACCCCCTGTGCTGTTTCGGTTGAGTGGACCCTCTGCCTACTGTGGGTGCTCAATCCCCAGTGCCTTCCCTGTACTTACTTTCTTTAGGGAGCAGCATGTCTAATCCACACCCTGTTCCTCCAGCACCAGCAGCATGGGGGATGCGGGGGAGGGGAGTTATAAGAGGATTCACCAGAGACAGAGTGGGGAGCAGAAGAGGTGGACCAGGAATCAAACTCATGCTGCTGTGACTGCCAATAGCTTGATAGCACTAAGACTTTAACTCCTGCGCCACCAGGGAGGCCCTGTCTCTTCTTTTTCTTTCTAAATCAGTGTAGTGGCTGAGCAACTCTTACTGGAGCCCCAGCCTCTGTCCATTCATACCTAGTAAAGTTGACAACCTGGAGATTTATAGAGGTTTCTCCAGCCGGCTGGGGTGGGGGGTGGGGGCAGCGGCCACATCAGAGGGACCATTTACTGGTTCTTCTGGTAGAAATAGTTCTCTGCCTGAGGCCAGACAGGAGGTTCCTGGCCTGTGACTGGGCTAACAGTAAGCATAGAGTGATGCCTGGTGCACCCAAGCACATCCAGACTGGTATTCCCAGCCTTTACTTCCCTGTACCCCAGCTTCCATACCCGGAAACATCTAGGAACAAGGAATCCTGGCCAGTGCCAAGGGCCAGCCCCTGTGAGGGGAAGGGATACCAAAGGGGGGCACCCCAGGCCCCAGGCACAGTTGCCCTTACCATTGGCAATCCTACTGGGCACATCCCCTTCTAGCACATTTGCCAAGAGAGTCCTCCCTGAGGCAGGGGCTGGGCTCAGCGCTGTGAGAAGAGAGGGCGCCTCAGTGTAGGACTGACAGGTGGCCGACCTAAGGGCCTGACTCTATCCAGTAGAGCCCACTGTAGTTGGGGCAACCATGCCTTCTCCGTGGCTGGGCCCACCTCCGCTCCCTCGTGGAGTCTTGGGTCTGAGTAAGAGTAACGACCAACAGAGGACACTGCAGCATCCTTGCGGCTTGCAGCTTGGCAGGGGAGACAGTTGTCTACAAGGCAGGTACTGACTCCAGGCTGAAGGGAATGAATGCACCAAAAGGTAGGCTTTTAAGTAGACTTTCATTTTTTTAGAGCAGTTTTAGGTTCACAGCAAAACTGAGCAGAAGGTACAGAGATTTTTCCTGAGTCTTCCCCACTACCATCATCTCCCACCAGAGTGGTATCTATTTTACAATCAATGACCCTCCATCGACACAGCTGTCACCTGAGGCCCAGCGTTTCTATTAGGATTCATTTGCCACTCTCTGTCTAAGCACATTCTCTTTGCTTTCTATTTAGATAGATGTAAGTTGAGTATATATAGCTACATATCCTTTCCTTCCGAACCCTTTGAATAACTCCTAATGCCACCACTTCCACTAGCTGCATCTCCCCAAAGTGGGGCCACCCTCCCACATGATTACAACACTGTTACCAGATTTAGAACATTAGGGATCATTGAGTAATAACATCTCATGGCCAGCTCATGCTCAAATGCACGGGAGCGAGTCTGCGTGTGTGGTGGAGGGAGGTGGTTGACTAATAGCCATCTTTTGGCTCATAACTTAAAACGAAGGAAGTTTTGATTACAAAAGTAGTATCTGCTTACTAAAAAAGGTTTAAAGAAGAAAGTGAAAAGTGTCCCCTCATCCCCCCTGTGCCGTGTGGGTTGAGTGAACCCCTTGCCTACTGTGGGTGCTCAGTCCCCAGTGCCCTCCCTGTACTTTCTTTCTTTGGGGAGCTGCATGTCTAACCCACACCCTGTTCCTTCAGCACCAGCAGCAGGTGGCACAGGCTGTAGAACGTGCCAAGCAGGTCACCATGACGGAGCTGAACGCCATCATCGGGGTACGTGGACTCCCCAATCTGCCTCTCACCGTGTGTATAGCCCTTTTATTCCTCTCATTTACCATAACAGAGATGGACCCTGACCTTAGCTGGCCTCAAAGAATGGCGGCCCTGGGGCTCCTGCCATCCCATGTGAATCATGGACTCGGACCCCTATGGGGTTCTTGCTCTCTGGGCTCCCCCATTGTCTTGCTGCCCCTGAACTAAAAGGGTGCCAGGTGCTTCCTGGCCCCACCTGACACTTACCAGCCCAGTGCTCCCCACTTTTGAAGGGGTTGGGCTCCAGGCTCCCCTTCAAAGCCCGATTGGCTGCCTGTGGGACCAGCCTGTCTCCTCACCCATCCCCAGGGGCCTGTCTGCCCCACGCCTCCTCCCTGGCAAAGGTCTGCCCTTCTTTGGCCACCTGGGATCAGAACTGTCTTCTGCTGTACTGTTGATGTGGAATTGGGGTTGGGCCTTGCTGTCCCCTGCTCTGAGCTGCCTGACTAAGCATCCCTCATTTCCCCTTGTGACTTCTCTTTGGGGCACCCAGACAGGGATTCCTGACCTGGACATCCTGTTTCACCTGGGAACAGGAGAAAATATGCACAGGTGCTTAGTGTATGCATCTTTAGTGCATTTTGGGGGTTCACAGACTGTCTTTCTCCTGCTTGCTGCTTTGCTGTGAGGCTAAGTGTTTGGAGATAAGCATCTGAGCAAAAAGTATTTTCATTGTGACTTTGGACAAGGTCTTACCTTGAGGTGTACCTGTCCACCTTTGTCCCTTGGGTGCAGGGATAGGTGAGATCACTGCCCTTCTCCCCCACCTAGAGACGTCTGGGTCAGGTCCCCACGGGGACTTGTAAACTGTATAGATGCTAGAACACTTGCCCAAGAGTTCTTTTTCACACCTCTCAGGGTGCGGGACGGGGAATCTGCATTTCTGACCTCTTCCAGATCGTTCTGAAGGGCAGCCAGGGTAGGGAAACCGCGGACTGGTGCGCTGTGCTTTCTTCTGCCCTAACATTCTGGGGCCGTGGTTGGTCTTCATTCTTTTTCTTCTTATGTGAGCTCATGATTTCAAAGTAGACCCGTAGGCCTCAGAACGTTCTTCTGTTCAGTGGGATAGATGGTGACTTGCCTTTCCAGTCCAGGCCTGAACCCCAGAGACTGTGTTTTTGTTGACTCTTCCCGTGTGACTTTGGGCAGGCCTGTTTCTTGTCTCTTCTGCAAGCCTTAGATTCTGCTCATCTTTCTGGGCCTTCCCAAATTAGGCCAGGAATATCGGGAGTTGGGGTGGACAATGATGTGGATCCCAAGCCTCCATCACGCAGTTGGGGCCCATGAGGGTCTCATGGTTCTGTCCTGGTCCAGCCCCATGACAGCTGTGTGATGCTGCCAGGGGAGGGCTTGGAAGCAGCAGACTTGCTGGGGGGGAGAAGCAGACCTTCCCCCTCTGCTGAGGGGCCGAGGGGCCCATAAATGGGAATCTGAGCAAGTGGTCAGTGTTTTTGGCCACTGAACTGGAAGGCAGCCTCTCAGGAGAGGTCAGAGTGTAAAGTGTGTGATGTTGCTTTGAGATCAACTGTTCTAGGTTCTTCAGGCCCCACAGAAGTGAAATAGGGGCTCAGCCCCTTCTTTGAGGTGGGGGCTGATCTGTGTATTGTAGGAAGTTTAGTATCTGCCCTGGCCTCTAGCCACTGCATGCCGGCACCTTCTTCCCACAGTGGTGACACCCCAAAATGTCTTCCAGACATTGCCAGATGTCCATAGGGGGCACAGTGGTCCCTGGGGGAGTACTGCTAGCCAGGCCCTTGTTTCGGGGAGTGAAGTGCTTCTTGGATGGTTACAAGCTGTTGAAGGGCAAAGCCTGAGAGGCCAGAAGTGCAAGGGCTGACTCCCTAGTGTGGGGCCCGTGTCCTCTTTCCCCATGACCAATTCCTGGCTCTGCTATTAGTGGCAGCAGGGGACGCGGGGGTGGGGAGCGTGTTGTGAGCTCTGTTGCCTCTGCTATTACCCTTTTCCCCTCCTTGTCTTCGTCCCCTTTCCAGAGGACTCCTGGCAGTCTCCTGGCCAAGCTTCCCCCTCTGCAGTGGCCCCCAGTGGGTCCTCCCCCACCCAATGCCTCACTCTTTGGGATTGAAAAAATAATTTTTTTTTTTAAAGTTCTAAGAAAAGAGTGAAATTGGGGAAGAAGTGCTGCTTGGATTAGCTCCACTTCCTTTAAGTAGTATTTAGGAAGCGACAAGTTAGGTCAAGGCAGCTGGAGGCAGATATTGGAATTCAATTAAAGCCAACGAGTGGGGCCTGTGACCCCCATTTTCAAGGTAATTGCTTCTCCGGCTCTGAGTGAACGCAGCCGTCGCCCTGTCATTAAGCAGGCAGCCATCTAATCGCTGTGCCTGACAGAGCCTCACAAGGCAGGAATTACGGACACGGTGAGCCAGGCTTGCCTGCCCCGGCGGAGGAGCAGGAGCAGCTCAGCCAGGCAAGGAGGAGCCGGGAGAGCGGGTCTCAGCTGAGCCACCTCTGGGACAGGAGGTGGGGAAGGCTGGCAGGCCCAGGCCCGGACTGATGGCAGAGGACAGCAGCCTAGGCCCCACAGGAAGGGCAGTGAAGGGAAAGGCCACGGAGGCTCAGCCACTAGTATCCACCCCCAGAGCACTACTGGATTTGTCCTGTTGGAGGGAGAAGTAGCCCACCCCCCTGGTCTGGCAGTTAGGAGGTTAGGCTAGTCACTTCATTCCCCCAGACCTCACTTTCCCCATTTGTGAAAAGAGGGGGAAAGACCTGGAAAGTGTATATGATGTACGCACTTCCATCAGTTGTTTGGTCCTCTGGTCATGGAGTAGAGGGTTCTGAGTGTGCCTTGGCTCAGCTCAGGGAGATGAGTTAGTTTTGTCCGGTGTGGGCATGACTTAGATAGTGGTACAGTTAGCGTGTAGATTAGAGTATTTCTAGGATCCCCCTCCTGATCAGAAAGCCCAGGATCCAAAGTCAAGTTGGCGTGGGAGGAGAGGGGGTGGAGGAGCAGATGGAGGGAATGCTGACTTCCTGGCCCGGCCTGGCCCAGCCCGCATCCTCCCCTGCTGGGCCCCAGGGAACTCTAGTAGCATCCCAGCAACACTGGTCCTAAAGCGCCTGTCTCCTCCCTGGCAAGCCTCAGACCTGTTACAGTACATGCCCCTTTTCCTTGGATCCAGATTATTGGGGGATCCTCAGAAGGGGAAGATTCCTGAGCATGCGGAGGGAAATTTTGACCTTGGCCAGCAGCTTGCAGGAGGTAGTCTCCGGCAGATTAAAGACCCTGGGAGCTGACCTCTCACCCAATTCCAGGACCATTTTTTCTTGTGGTGCTCTCTGCGGACCACAGGTCATTGGCCTGGCAGGTGGGTACGTCTTGAGCCGCCAGCAATATGGCAGTTATTCAGGGAAGAAACGTTGCAAGGTTGACTTGGATTTTTTTTTAATGGGGGTGGGAGGGTGAGGAGGAAGAGGGAGGTCACAGCTTGTTAGAAAGGATTATCTTGAAGTCATTCCTAAGGTTCTTGGATTCAGGGCTGCAGGATGAGCTGGAATCAGTTGGTTGAATTTTACATGGGGGAAGGGTAGCACACACCTTATGGAGACTGTTTCTTTCGGCCAGGAAGCGCGCTTGAGTCTTGGCTCTGGTGGTTTTGGTTCAGTCATTCCTGCGCCTGTCCCCATCTCTGAAGTGGGGAGAACAGGGTTACTGTGAGCACTAGAAGCTGTGATAGCGTGAGGCTCAGTTCAGCGTGGAGCTGTGGGACCACGGGTCTCGTGAAGTAAAATAACAAGCAGTGGCCTGGGGTTGCTCCCTCCTTGGAGGGCAGGCAGTGCTCCTTCTCTGCAGTATGGGTTCTCTGCATTCTCTCGTGGGCATCCTCTGTGGGTCTGGGCTCTGGGAATGCCTAGACAGCGTCACTGCGTCTCTCCCAAATCATGAACCTGAGAAGTGAAGCATTAAATCAGCTGGCAGAGGCATAACGTGTGCTGTGTATAATCCAGTTACACGTACTCTGCAAGCAAGCTCTTCCCCGAAGCCTCTCCCCTAAGTGACTGAAGCACAGGAACTGGGCACACTTGTGTGTGTGTGTGTGGGGGGGGGGAGGTGTCACACAGATGCTTCACGGAGGCTACATTCTTTGACCTGTTAGTGTTTTGGCATGAAATGTTAGGGAACAAGTGAGCACCCCTGGCTGGGCTCGTTCCAGACTCCCAGCCCCTCTTGGGGGATGCAGTGGAAGGGCAACTCTTGCCTGGCTTTTGTATCATGGATGGAGAAGCCCTGGCCTTGGAAGAAGCACTAGAAACTACACAGGCAGCTGCAAACATGAACTCAGGTGCCATTCAAATTGGAGACCTGAGTGCATGCCTACATCACCGGGGGGGCTCTCCAGTTGGAAACACTGTCACTGCCACTCAGGTGGCACTGTTTCAGCACATCGTCCTCTGGGGTCTGGGACCTGTGGCAGAGGTGAGAAGTGCAGCTTCCGATGGCCGTGCCCTGCCCACCGGCCTGTGGAAGGGCTGGGACCGCCATGGGGATGGTAAGACGACGCCCACTGCCCTTCCAGGGAGAAAATTTGTCTTCATTTCCTTTTGCAACCAAGAGTGCTGTTGGCAGACCTCTCTGCTGGAGTAGCCCTGGCATCTGCCCTTGCCCCGAGAAAACTTGGAGATTGGTGCCCTGCCCCTGCTTCCCAGAAGCTGCTGGCCATTCCTGATTATGCCTTCACGCCACCCAAAGAGACCTTGGAGCAGTCTTTGGTACTTGAAGAAGTGTAGACAAGTTTCCTTTCTTCTTGCAAGGACATTACGGCCGAAAACCACCGTCTCGGTCTTGGAAGCTCATCAGCTTTGAAAGCACTCTTTTCCAAACAGCCGATGATGCAGCCTTTTCCCAGTTTCTGATGTTGGTTCACTGGTCCACATACTGGGAACACAGATACCCCACTGGTGTTCCTTGTCTCAATGAACTGCCCTAATTGTATCCCAGCAGGCCCTATGGAGGAGCAAGGGATGGGAGGCGGACGGTTGCTTTAGGCCAGAGCCACCTGCTCAAGGACTGCTGAGTATCTCCGTGTGTATCCTCGCCAACATTTTCAACTTACTCCCCAGCAAATGAACGCTGAGCTGATGTGCAGCACGCCGTCGGAGGTGCTGCGTAGATCAGACAAAGCCCTGTCTTCCTGACTCTACAGTTGCCAGGCGTCATCACTGAAAGTTGTGGTCTATCATTTTGAGGGCATTGAGCTCCTACTTGGCCTTTATATGTAGTAATGTTTGTGGTCCTGTACAACCCACAGAGACGAACTGTGTCTGATCTCCACCTGCCCATGCAGGAACCAAGGCCCGAGAGCCCAGCTGACTCATCTGAGGTCTCAAAGCGGATAAAAGACAGGGGCTGCACGTCCACCATTGTCTGTCTGGCGCCAGAGCCTGAGCTGTTAGCATTCACAAGAGTCGAGGAGGGGACCTTTGACCCGGACAAGGTTGAAGCTGGGAGGTGGGATTAGAGAGCAGGCCTTACCCGGTGAAGTGAGAATTAGGGTGTTTATTCAGGTCTCTTCTTGGGTGCAAATCTTCAGTAAGCTCTTTCTATAGAAACGATCGTCAAGGAAGGAAGGAGTTCGTCGTCTACCTTCTTGGAAGCCATCCGCCTCTCCATTTTCTCCTCTGTTCTTACTGGCCATGCACTATAAGAAGTGATTAAACACCTCAGGTCTTGTTTTCTGGATTTTTCTGAATAATTAACACTGACAGAATGAAAATGCTTGCTAGCAGCTGCCAGCACAGACCCCAGCAGAGATGCATTTTCCTTCCAACCACAGTAGAGAATACCATGTAGCCACTGTTGATCTGTTCTTCAGAACCCCCTTAGATTAAAATCCAAACGTATAGGGTAAAGTGAATGGGCTTGTTGGTACAAATTTGAAAATTTTTTCAAATCTTTGTAGATTTCCATAAAGGAAAATCTAGAATAAACTGGAATCTTCCAGGGAGGGATAATTATTTCAGAAAACTTTTTAATTTATACTTTTAATGTTTCCTGATGATGAGCATGTATTATTTTTGTAATAAGATATAAAAAATACATTTTCTTTAAAGAGAAAAAGGAGGGCGCTCAGGTATGAGCCCGTCTTAGAAAACTATGAGCTCCTGGGTGGGTCAGGGGTTGTGTTTGTGCTCCTGTGATGGTAGCTCCAGGGGCTTTGTTTCTGCTCCGGGGTCAGGCAGACATGGGGTCAGGCCACAGTGGGACCAGTGCCCCCTGGCAGCTCCATAGACTGCCCAGCAGTAGAGCTGCTAGGTCTTGGGTCCCAGCCTTTCACCCAGAGCAGAGAAATCAGCCTCCCAGGTCAGGAGTGCTGCGTTGGCATTGATTGCCTTGAACTTTGGGGTGGGCCAGGTTGGTAACTAGTTGGGAGATCAGGGCTCTTAATCCCTATTGTCAAACACTCCCTCCTGGAGCCTCCCCTTCAACCAGAACTGTGGGCCTTCACTATGTCCTATTGTCTGTCTGGTCAGAAAGCCATTTATGCAAACTTGTCAGATCTTTGTCCTTTGTCACTGCCACCAACTCTTTTTACTTTGGGGCTCTCCTTAGGTGCATTAGGCTGAAGATACTGGCTGAGTGATTTTGAGTGCAGGTCCCACTCGCTAGTGGTGAGACTTGGCTAGTTACTGGCTGTGCCCACCAGTCCCCAAAGTGTCAGTCTCCCATCTGTAAAATGGGTACAACCCACCCCCCGCCCCAGCAAGTGGTTAGCAGGATTGAAGTTAATGTTTGAAACATACTTGGGTATGCAGTAAGTGTTCTTGTGCTGGTTGAAAAGAAATATGCATGCACTAGTAGGTCTCAGCCACTCCTGGGCAATATTACCATCCCTAAGTAGTAGCTGGCCATAGTGTAGCCTGCCCCCCATCATCCTTGGCACAATCTTAGGAATGATAAAGGGCATTTGGGATACTGGTTGCCAAGCCAGTCACTTGGGTGTGGGAAGGAGAGGAGGGAGAGAAGACCTGAGGCCAGTGTTGTTTAGAGCTGTCTGGGGCCTCTTATCAATCCTTGCTGTTGATGATAATACCGAGTTAATGCATGCCAGGGTTTTGGAGCCATGGGGGACATGTAAGCCCTCGGTAAATGTTACCTGTGATCACAGCTGCTACACACATTATCTTAGCTTAATCTCCTGAGGTGGGCACTGCGTCCCCCTTTTATGAGTAAGGACATTTGAGGCCCACAGAGTTGAAGAAACCTGCCGGAGGTCACATAGCTAGGAAGTGCCAGAGCTGGGATTTGAACCCTCTTCTGTCTGGTTCCAAAGCCTGTACTCTTCTCGTTACCCTGTTCTCCATTCTGATATCCAGTGCCACTAGCTCTCCTCCCACTGGCTACAAGCTCTTCCTGCTCTCGGCGCTTTTCTGCTGCAGCCTGCCCTCGCTCTGTAAGGCAGGCACGGAGTCCTCAGAGATAGGGCGTCTTCACGGGGTGTCGGCTCAGGGTGGGAGACCCTGGCTGCTAAGGTTTGAAGGCATGTAAGCATGAGCAAACACGTGTCTGCTAGGAGCTTACAAATAGCTCCCTCTCGGCTCAGAGGGAACCTGGATGACTGTGTGGTTTTTAAATGCATGCTTTATTTATCTTGGGCTTGGAAATACATATTGAGAAATTCTGTCCTGAAAAAACTGGGACAGGGGAGGGATGGGGTATTTGAAGACATAAATCTTGTATCTAAATTGCGATCCATTAACAGACTTCCTTCAGCAAGACAGCATGTGGCCTGAGCCGGGGGCCAAGGTTTTGGGGGGTGTTTCCCCCTGCTGCCTTTTGGTGGAGTGAGGGGGATGGACAGCCGGGGTTCTCCCCATCTCCTCCTGCTCAGCTGTGCTCACCACCACCTTCATTACAGCAGCAGCAGCTACAGGCGCAGCACCTCTCCCACGCCACGCATGGTCCTCCGGTCCAGTTGCCACCCCATCCGTCAGGCCTCCAGCCTCCCGGGATACCCCCTGTTACGGGGAGCAGTTCGGGGTTGCTGGCGTTGGGTGCCCTGGGCAGCCAGGCCCACCTGACGGTGAAGGACGAGAAGAACCATCATGAGCTGGACCACAGAGGTGCGGACCCGCGCTGTGGGTAGGGGCAGAGGGCAGGGCTGGGCTGGGCATATGAATAACTGTGGGTCCCACCAGGCGTAAATGGGCACAGCAAATGCTGTTACCCTAGGACAGGAGTGTGCCAAAGATTTGGAAGCATCTGTTGAATCCAGCGCCTGATCCCTGATGAATACCCATTACCCTCTGCCCTGGAAGACTCTTGTCCATTCATCAATAAACACCTTTCCCTTTTCTCTCCCCTTCAAAGTGCACTCCGGCCCCACTCCTTTTGGTTTCCTTCCTGGCCAGTTCTAAGTTCCCATAATAGTTTAAGAGTTGGGATCCAGAGAATGGGCCCTTTATACTGTCCTCTTGCATCCTGCCTGCGCCTGGAAGATGTTTTGCTCTCAGCAAGGTCATTAGTGCTCTGAGGACAGGGGCAGGTTCCTGTGTGCTTAACTCCGCACGTGTGTCTCCCTACTGCGGGTGCCTTGGGAGGGGTACCCAGTTGGTGCTAAAGTGAAGACTTGCTAGTTGACTACCTGTAAATGAAGGTAATGATCACGCCACTGCAAGAGGATAATTGGGAAGACTTGGGTTCAGGACCCCCATCCTGGTTCCCTGGCAGACCTTTTTACAAAAGTTGTGACCCTTTGTGACTCTGCCTTTTGAGGTGTAATTGACACTATAACGTTGTGTGAGTTTAAGGTGGACAGTCACCACAGCGCATGGCCTCTGAACCCCCACTAAACACCACACTGTTGGGCAGCAGGGGTCTGGAATGTCACCAACCTGGCCTGGCTCAAGGCCACAGGGCAGAGGCAGGTCGTGGGAACGCAGTGGGGTGAGGGCTGAGTTATTGTCCCTGCAGTAGGGTGGTCTTTTGGGCAGAGGGAGAGGAGAATCAGGGTAGTGACTGGGCACATAATCAGAGGCCTCAGCTTCCAGGGGCTATTGGCCAAGAATGGCGTTAGCTAAAAACAACCACAAAACCACTCCCACAATTGCCTTTAAAGAAAAAAAACACAATTATGTCCTCTACTCCCAGATCCTACAGATGCTCTGGTTAGTACGATCCTTCTCACGCTTGTAGCTTAAAAACCTGCTAAATAGTAATCTTGGTGCCCTTATTGGCATACTGGGGAGACGTGTGCCCCAGGCTTTCCCACCCCACCTGGGACTGCGGGCCAGAGCAAGTCTTGAAATTGAGACTGTTAATATCCAGAATGAGACATGTCACCTCTGTCCACTCCTTGGCTGACCCACGGTGATGCCAAAAGCCAGGCCTGCTGCCACCTTTAAAACCTGTGAAGTAACAAAGCATAAAAGCCAGCTGCATGAAGAGACTGACCTTTCTTTTTCTCTTGTCTTTTTGTCTTGGGGGGCCTGACCTTCCTCCTGTCTTGACCGTGTGTTTCTGAAGAGAGAGAATCCAGTGCGGTAAGTGTTTTGGAGCTCTTGTGGTATGTTTGGGGTGCTGGGAGGAAGAGGACAGGTCATTGTGAGCTCCTGGTGGTAGTGGGGTTGTTGTCATGAAATAGGAGTTGCTGTCACCTGTTGAAAGTGACCTTCAGTTGGGGACGCCCTTCATCTCCAGGCTTTAGGGCCATCATTTTTTAAATGAAGAGCTTGGGTTAAGTGAATTCTGACTTGCTGTTATATGAGAAACGATTAACTGGAAGATCAGCTGGGCAGCCCTGGATCCTCTGGGTAGATTTGTGGAGTCACTTACACTGACCCAGGACTTAGGACCCAGGGGTCCCTTGTCCTGGGCCAGGGTGCTTCCCTGCCCACAGCCCCAGGTTGGTTGCCTGCTCTGTGGTTCTGTATCCTCTTTTCCTCCATATGCCTGAGGTTTGTTTCTCCCTGTTCTGTGCCTTTTAACTCTGTTTTAGAAAGTGCTAGCATGCGAGCATTAAGGCCAGGCTGCCTGTGTGTCTGCCAGCACTGAGATTTGTTGTAAATCTTTCTGATCACACTGAGGCTCAGAGGTTCTGTTCTAGTGAATAAGCCTTCTGAATAAGCACAGTGGAGTCTGGATAAAAAAAAAATCCTCCAGCGATTAGCAAAGCTATTTTATTCCTCATCGCCATCCTTGTATCTGGGGGCATCTAATCTGTTAGATGCCTTTAGGATGGCTTTGGTTATTACCTTGTGTTAAGTGGGACTTGGAAGGTCAGGCAGTTAACTAACCATCTAGACAACCGCTTCCTCGGGCAGCTCCTCCACCCCGACCTGCCTTCCCTTCTCAGCCTCCCAATAGCAGCAATGGGCGAATCTGCTCTGATATTCTCAGAAATCAGGTCCACTTGGGCTTGGGAATGGCTCGGTACGTAAGAAAGGAATGGCTGAAGTAGAAAATCCATTTTAAATGCTTTAGTGTTGATCCTATAAGTGGTGGCGCTTTGGGAGAGGTGCATTGCCCAGATAGTAGGAGGACTAGACTGGATTCCCTGAGGCTGAGATCTGATCCCAGCTTCATGGGACATTGGTGTCTTCAAAATTCACTTTCTTCATCTGTAACTTGGGCCTAGTTCCTGCCCAAGCCACCCCCTCAATAGGACCTGGGATCCGAGAGATTACCTTGTTCACAGCACTGGTTGCACAGCCAAATAAGTATCTGAAACCTGGCCCCTTACTTCCCCCCTTCACATTGTCCATATCCCCAAGCCTAGTTGCCTTGGCCTTTGGCTTTGTGCCTCAGTCTGTGAAAGCTTTCTGCTAAAAGAAACCCATGGGGAACCCCCCAGGAGCGAGCTCTTCACTCTGCAACACTCTCCGACATCTGAGCCTGTCAGACAAAGCAGAGGGGGCACGCTTGGGTCACGGGAGAGTCTCATGGGAATGAGTCAGGACGCCATCCCAGGCTGGGCTGGGTGGGCTGCTCCGGGGTGAGGCAGGCAGGCAGGCCATGTGCATGTGGCAGTGCGGTCGAAGGGGGTGTAGACTGAAGTCATCAGCCCTTTGGAAACCAGGTTGTCAACAGCTGAGGTCTAGGCAGGAAGGACAGGGCCATGTCTGGGTGGGAGGCGGGCGGGCTGGAAGCCGTCCCAGAGGGGTTAGTCTGGAGTCCAATTAGAGGTAGCTTCATTCATATTTCCTTGCCTAGCTGAAGCAATAAAAAATACTTAGTTTTTTGGCTGCCTGCCAGCCAGAGGCGGGCTGGATCGATGCCGCTAAATGTCTGACATGACTCTCCTGTAGCAGCAAGGGTTTTCAGCCTGACTGCAGGAGAAGAAAGAGCTAGCTGTTTGGGAGCGCGGACTGGGTTGCGAGGAGAAACACGAGCAGCCGCTCCCCCCTCCCCCGGCCCTGCAGCCCAGTCCCCCGCCAGAGGAGAGGGCCAGCCAGCACGAGGGAGGGGGCTGGAAGCAGGGCTGCTTAGCACGGGGTGGCCGCCACTATGGGAGGAAATGAAATGAAATGACGGTGATTTTTCTGCCGGCGCTTGCAGCAGCTAATTGAATTGCGGCTGTGTGCGCATCGCCGCAGCTCTTGCCCGGCTGCGGGGAAGGTTGAGCTGCACTTCCATTATACCCTCCATTTTTTTCTTCAAGCCTTGATAACTCTGCCATTTTAATTTGCTTCAGGCAGAAACTTGGCAGGGAAGGGAAACCGACTTAGGAAGGGAAATGAAGGTCTGTGGCCAGTTCTCCTACCGCTCCCCCCAGATGCCTCCCATTGACTGTCCGCCCCTGTCCCTCCAAGTGCCCCAGGCCTGTGAGCCAGCACTGACCTCTGGGGAAGTGCGAGACCTGAGTGATGCTCATCCCTGCTGTCTTTCACCTCTGAATAGACGTCCCTCTTTGTTCCCCTATGGCTTCATCAGGCACCCTTGTATTGTATGGGGAGCTCAGCCAGCCTTTTTCATCCCTGCACTTGGGCTGCAAGCCCCTGGTGGGCAGCAACCGTATCTTACTCATTCCTCCATCCCCAGCATCTGGCCTGATCCAGGGCAGGTGCTCGGGGAAAGCGGGAGTGTGTGGGTGAGTGAGGGACTGTGTCTTCTCGGTACCTTGAAAAAAGGGCACCTCAGCTGCTTCCTAGAGGGATGTGGGCTCTGGTCATCTTTTGGCACAGAGGTTTGCCTGCAGGCACCCTGTAGCTCCTCCCTCCCTGCATACCAGCCACCACGGTGCCCAGTCCACCTGAGGGCGGCGCTCTCATCTTGAGGACAGCTTTGTGGGAGTGTTGCTCCTGTGTGGGTAGGGGTCCACTGCCCCTTCTCTCAGGCCTCTCATGTCACCCTGTTCTCCTCCTGACTTTATAGTTGCGGGGAGAACTTGAGCTCACTAGGCTCCCCCCGGCCTGAAAAGTGTGTGTTTCCTGCTTGCTGCCTCCTGCTGGGGATGTGGGCAAGAGTTCTTGTTTCCCAGGACCCCCACTTTCCCATCACCACATGGGGGATGGTTCTACCTGCCCATATGCCTTTCCCCGTTTTTCAGAAGGAAAGAGTCTGTGACCTCTTTTGGTCTTTATTACCCGGGTGTTTCTCTATAAAGCTGCTGAAGGTCACGTGGCTGAATAGGGGGCGTTCACACAAAATGCCAAGTCGCTCACCTACACGTAGAAGGCCTGTTGGCAACCCAACGTTCTTCCCTCTCAGTCTTCTCTTTCCTGTCGGGCTTAGCAGATGAAGTATTGCTCACAGCCCAGTTGGTCGGCTCAGATCCATCTTCCAAGACTGAGTGAAATGCTGCTTATCCCTTCTTTGAGCAAATATGTGTGACAGGCACAAGCTAGGCGGTGAAGGCAGATGTGTCCCCTTGCCCTCAAGGAGCATACAGTCTCATAGCCCAGAAGGCACATGACTCTTAGCATTTAATTATTTCATAGCAGTGGCATTGCTATGCGAGAGAATCTTGATGCTCTCCTGGCCTCTCCCCGGGTGGCCTAGTCCAGGGCAGTTGGGAAGGATTTCCTAGCAAGGCTCCAGTGGGGCTGAGACCTTTAGGACACACAGGCCATTTCCTCTGACCTCCTGACATACTTAGAGGTGTCTCTGTATTCTTGCTTCCAGAATAACTCGGTGTCACCTTCAGAAAGCCTGCGGGCCAGTGAGAAGCACCGGGGCTCCGCAGACTACAGCATGGAAGCCAAGAAGCGGAAAGCAGAGGAGAAGGACAGTCTGAGCCGATATGTACGTTTGAGGGTGTGGCGGGCACCACTGGGCTTGTAATGGGCAGGCTGGGGGTAAGGGAGAGCTGATGGGGCCTGAACCCTCTTGGCATCAGGGAGTGAGTCAGGAACACACGTGGTGGCCTTGGTGTCTATACACACACTGAACACGTGGACCACACCCTGGAGGGAGTGGATGGTGGAAGGTCGTTAAGAACTCTGTGGGGTTTGGGGAGAGCCATGGGCCCATAGATGGGCCAACAGCCTTTGGCTGCCATCGCGGCTCTCTAGAATCCCTGGCACCCCACACTGGACATGGTCATGGTGTCTGTATGGGGCTCAGACGCATCGTAGAAAGTCTCAGCTGGACTTCAAGAGAAGAGACTGACCCTATCACCCACAGTGATAGAGATGACAACATGGGACTAGTGCATTTACTTGTGAATGATGCAGCTATAATCCCAGCTGGAAAAGTATCTGGCTTCAGAGAGACAAGTGACAGGAGCTTAGAAGTATAATGGTACAGTTATTAGGCTGCCTGTAGGCCCAGGATCAGAGTGATCCCGCAGCTGGGAAGACGGTGGAGGAAGGTGAGGAGACTAGGAGACGGTGAGGAGGAAGGCCAACTGGTGGGGTAGGGTAAAGAGAACCTGATCTTTGGACTTGGCCCAGGGTCAGCGTCTGGCTGGTAGAATTAGGGTAATTTGGGCTCGGCGGGGGTTAGGGAGGGCATGGCCTCTTCTTACTGGCTTCTGTCTGGGTTGCAGGACAGTGATGGAGACAAGAGTGATGACCTGGTGGTGGACGTTTCCAATGAGGTAAGGGTAGGCCCGGGGTGCTAGGTGGGAGTTACTGTGTCATGATGGCTATGCCTTCATTGCTGGTAGCCTAGGCTGGGCAACGAGGCTTTGGTGTTGGGGCATCACCTTATCAACAGGCTGGGTATTTGGGCCCCGAGGGGTTGCTAGAAGGGTCTCCAAAGAGAAAGATCCAAGCATCCCAGGGGAAGGCCTGCTTTCACTCTGCATGGTACTCTAGTAAGCTCTGTATCCCCACTCATGCAGCTCTTGAGGTGGGGGTTTTAGGCCCCCAGGGGATCAGCCCCAACAGGGAAGAGGAGCCCAAGAGGTTCCCCACAAGGCTCAGATTGGTGTCCTGAACTTACTTGATTTTGAGAGGTCACCCTCTACCCTACCCTTAGTTTTTCATCTGTGGGACAAAGCGGTCAGGCTAGATGATTAAGACCTAGTTACCTTGATTTTGGTCCCCGAAATCTCTCAGCCATGCTCTCCTCCCACCATCTGTGCCACCCCCTCCTACCCAGAGCAGGAGACTTCAGGATGTGCTGTTAAGTGCAGCTCTGTACCCTGTGTCTTTTTAGGACCCTGCAACTCCCCGGGTCAGCCCTGCACACTCTCCTCCTGAAAATGGGCTGGACAAGACCCGGGGCCTGAAAAAGGATGCCCCCACCAGCCCTGCCTCCGTGGCCTCCTCAAGCAGCACACCTTCCTCCAAGACCAAAGACCTTGGTCATGTATGTGGGGTCTGCTCCTGGTACAGCAGAAGCTGGGAAGGGGCTGGTGAGGGGGGGATGGTGAGAGAAGGTTCTGGAAAAGAACATGGATTGGGATCGTGACCACTTACTGGCTGTGTGCTGTGCTAGTTAGTTCACTTTACTAATCAGCTTTAGTTGCTACTTTTTAAAAGTGGGAACAAACACTGTAGTCCTTGCCAAACAAGGTTGGGCAAGAATTGGGGGGCTTTGGGGTAGAAGGTTCAGACCTAGGGCTTTGGCACCTGGCGACTGGCACCGGCTGCTGTGGCCAGCTGCAAGTGCCAGCTCTTAGGAGAAAGGGGTCTTCATGACTTCCCTTGGTGTCTGCATCTTCCATTTTCAGAATGACAAATCCTCCACCCCCGGACTCAAGTCCAACACACCAACTCCGAGGAACGATGCCCCCACTCCAGGCACCAGCACGACCCCAGGGCTCCGGTCAATGCCGGGTAAACCTCCAGGCATGGACCCGATAGGTATAATGGGTAGGCATGATGGGGCTCTGTCAGCCGTGCTTGAAGGGAGAGGGTCTGCCTCAGGCTGGAACAGAAGTCCCATGGGTGGGTCATAGCATGGGGCTCTGGTGCTAGGTGGCACAGAACCAGTGCAGGGTTTATACTGGGTCAGGCATGTGGAAGGACAGGACACTATGGTCTGTTCCCAGTGAGGGTTCTTTGAGGCTGACCAGCCCCCTTCTCTGGGCCTTTGCGTCCTGCTCTATAAAAAGAGAGGGCACGTCTCTTAGCTAGAACTTTCTTGAGCTGTGACAGGGATCCCACTTAAGTGGGTTCAATCCGAGAGGATAGCCTGGAGCAGGCAGATTGAGAGTGGAGTGATTGCTGCTCAGCAGACGTGGGCGGGTGGCCTGCTTTTGTCCTGAAGGAGGGGTGAGGTCCATTCCCCTTGACGACCACCTCTCCACTGACACCCTCCTCCTCGCAGCCTCGGCCCTGCGCACGCCCATCTCCATCACTAGCTCCTACCCGGCACCGTTTGCCATGATGAGCCACCACGAGATGAACGGCTCGCTCACCAGCCCCAGCGCCTACGCCGGCCTCCACAACATCCCGCCCCAGATGAGCGCGGCTGCTGCGGCCGCTGCCGCTGCCTATGGCCGATCACCAATGGTGAGCTTTGGAGCTGTACGTAGACCTTTTGGCTCCTTTTTGGGGGGGAGAGGGGCGGGATCTGAGCAAGGAGTGGGGGTTGGTGGGGGAGGCACTCCCTGCATACCGAAGGGGACCCTTGGTCTCTGCCCCAGGCAGCTGCCTTGAGGGAGGGGGGTTTGGGGTGGGGTGGGGAGGCATTTATTAGAAACAAGTGGGACCATACACACTTAGGAGACAGTGGCCATAGATCCCACCTCTGCCCGTTGGTCACCATGTGACTTCTGTAATGCCTCCTCCCTTGGCTCCCCCTTTCCAATGGGAAGTAGGGCTGATCCCTGTCTGTCTAGGTTCTTTGGAGTAGGAATCCCCGTATGAGCCCAGGGACTCCCATGTAGCAGAGGTTGGCAACTGTGGCTGGTTGTCTTCTGTTGATGAACAATTCAGATTTGGGTGGTGGGGAAGAGGGGTCCGCTTTTAAGAGCATTTCTCTCAGTACACCTGTACCTGTGTGTTCTTTCCACATGACGGGGCCCACCGCGATACCAGGGAAGAGAAAAGGCAGAGGCAGGGACACTTGGGGGTGTCGAGAATTCTGGTTCAGAGCTAGGGTTCTGGACTTCCTCGTCCCTGTCACTTAGCTGGGCAAGGCATTTGGCCTTCCTGGTTCTCTGCTTTAATCTGCTTGACGGAGTCTGAGGAGGCAGCAGTGTGTGTGCAGGGCCCAGGAAGAGGTGGAGGAGGGAGCTGTAGGGGAGGGGATGAACGTGGCATCCCTCACTAAGGGCTCGCCTTGTCTTTGCCTTACAGGTTGGCTTTGACCCTCACCCCCCAATGCGGGCCACGGGTCTGCCCTCAAGCCTTGCCTCCATTCCTGGTGGAAAGCCGTAAGCTTCGGTTATATTTCTTGCTTGCTTCTTGGGAAGGGCAGGGGAGGGCACCTTCACCCCCTAACCCTGGCCCCTGACCCGCTAAAGCTCCCCAGAGGGAGGGGGTCTGCCCCTTCAGAGGAACTTACAGGCCAGGTTGCAAGTACTGGGAACAGTTGCCTGTTCCTTCTTCCGATCCCAGGGGCTTCTTCTAAAGGGGACCTGAGTGGAGGTTGAGGGGTGGTCCCTGGGTTCTGAAGAGAAGCACTAAAGACATTAGCATTTCCTCACCAAATGGCATGAGCTGCCCTGACCGTGGGGGCTCCTTTGGGCATTGCCCCCAGCTGGCACCCTTGGGAGCCTAACATGCCTGGCAAACGTGCTGGCTGAGGTGTGTGTTTGGGGAGCAGATATCCCTCCCTAACAGTCCTGAGGGCTTTTAGAGCTGATGGGAAGGGGCATTTCAAGCCATATGTGGGGCTAGTGACTGGTTTGGAGCTAAGGAGCTTGGGAGCAGAAATCAAGGTTGGAATGTGGAGCAGGCCCCACCTGGTGGAGCCAAGCCAAGGTGGAAGGGGGTGACTGGGTTCCCTAAGATTTGGGGAGAGGGAACCCTGAGGCAGAGAGAGTGGGGGTTGAAGGAGGTCCCAGTCGAAATGGGCTAGACCTGTGGAGCCTGGGAGAAGCCCCCAGTGGGAGAAGACCAGGGATGGCCCAAGTGACTCACCCTTCTCGTTCTTTCAGCGCATACTCTTTCCATGTGAGTGCCGACGGGCAGATGCAGCCGGTGCCCTTTCCCCACGACGCCCTGGCAGGCCCCGGCATCCCAAGGCATGCCCGACAGATCAACACACTTAGCCACGGGGAGGTGGTGTGTGCTGTGACCATCAGCAACCCCACGCGACACGTCTACACAGGCGGCAAGGGCTGCGTGAAGATCTGGGACATCAGCCAGCCGGGCAGCAAGAGCCCCATCTCCCAGTTGGACTGCCTGGTGAGGACCCTGGGGCTCGGGCATCTCCTCTAACTGGCAAGCCGGGCAGGGCGGCAGCTCGTCCCACCTGGCCTGCTTCCTGCCCCCTGCGTGGGCTGGGTGACTTGGTGTGAGCTGGCTCACCTCATGGAACCCTCGCTTTGCCGCCTCAAGAGGGAAGATTCTGACCTCCTGGGGCTGGTGAGGAGAGACTGAAGAGCTGTGTATGGGCTGTGTCACAGGGTGGGGGAGGGCAGGCTGTGAGCAGGGGTGCTGAGGGTGTGCAGTGCTGCCGGACATGACTGGTCTCCAGGAGGAAAGGTTAGGCTGCACTCAGCCTGGGCCCTTCTCCTTCCAGAACAGGGACAACTATATTCGCTCCTGTAAGCTGCTCCCTGATGGGCGCACGCTCATTGTGGGAGGTGAGGCCAGCACGCTCACCATCTGGGACCTGGCCTCGCCCACACCCCGCATCAAGGCCGAGCTGACATCCTCAGCTCCCGCCTGCTACGCCCTGGCCATCAGCCCTGACGCCAAAGTCTGCTTCTCATGCTGCAGCGACGGGAACATTGCTGTGTGGGACCTGCACAACCAGACCCTGGTCAGGTGAGGCTGCAGAACGCGGCAGGAATGCCCTGTCCTTGGGGAGTCTGCACTGGTCGTGCATGGCCTTGCTGCCGAGACTGCACTTGTCCCAGGGGCTATTGGTGGCCAGAACAGTGTGGATGAGGGACACCTAGGTCAAAAGACAGCTTGGCCTGCCTTGTGCAAGTGGGCAACTCTGTGCCAGATGCTGGTGTGGGCAGACGATGGAGGTCTGCTTGTTGCAGGAGCTGGCAGAAGGCTCTGGTGTGTGGAGAGAGGCCAGCCTGTGGCAGGTCTGGGAAGGCAGAGTTCAGATTGACAGATAAGCAGAAAGGGGTGGTGGGAGAACCCAGAAAGAGATGGCTTTGCAGTCAGAATATAGCAACAGTGTCACTAGTGGTCAGCGTGGAGGCCTTGGCAGCTAAGCCTGCTGGGTTTCAATCCTGCCTACTTGTAACCTTCCACAGGTCACTTAACCCCTGTTCTTCCATTTCCCTTGTGAACTAAGTAGAGTGAAACTGTTCCTTAGAATTGGGCCGCAGCGCAGTATCTAACCAAACATGGCTCTTACTGTATACTTTGGCCTTCATATGAAGAGTCGTGTTCCTCTTGGGCTTATGGCTTCGATCCCTGCAGGGTGAAGGGGATGGATTAAGAATGGGAACTTCGAAGACACTGAGTGTTAGACTGACAGGATCTCTATGTTATACCCCTCACCCTCACCCACACACACACACCCCCACACACACCTCCCCCCCTTTCCCCCCCCTCCCCCGCCCAGACCTAGCTCTCTTGCAGGTTCTCTAAGGGACTGTGGCACATGGTGCAACCACTTCTGGGCCTCAGTTCCCTGTTCTGCTCAGAGGCAGAGCTGGCCTGCTCCCAGGCACCACTGCAGGTTCCCTGGGGCTAATCATCTTCCTTGCTTGGCCTTCATAGGCAGTTTCAGGGCCACACAGATGGGGCCAGCTGTATAGACATTTCCCATGACGGCACCAAGCTGTGGACTGGGGGCCTGGACAACACAGTGCGCTCCTGGGACCTGCGGGAGGGTCGGCAGCTGCAGCAGCACGACTTCACCTCTCAGGTGTGTGGCCCCAAACGCCCCCCTCCCCCAAGAGTGGCATCTTCTCTTCCCTCCCAGGGTCCCAGTGACCAGGTCAGGGGCAAAGATGGTCATTGCAAATGGGCGTGGGGCCCACTGAGCTATCTGGGAAGGGTTTCTGGAGGAAATGGTAATGGTAGAGTTCACAAGCCCTTGGCGTTCCGTTCCCAGCTTCCCTATTATTGAGCATTTTGGCCTCGGTTTCCTTTTTTTCTTTTAATGGAACTTGCTATTGGAATGTTTTTTGAACTTATTTATTTTTATTTAAATATATTTTACATCATTGTTCATTTTTGTGCAATGTTTGCTTTCTCCTCTCAGGTGTAGTCCCCATAAAATTCCCACCAATTCACCTGTGCACCATCACTATAGTCCCTTGTTTTGCGCCTTCCCTCCCCTGTTTTGCCCCCGCCCCGCAGAATGTCTGATTTATAATAGCTTGTTAATTTTGGTTTTTTATTTATTTATTTTTTTCCCTTGATCCCTTATTTGGTTCCCCTATATTCCTCCTGTAAGTGAAACCATACGATATTTTTCTTTTCCCTTCTGGCTTATGTCACTGAACATAATCCCTTCCAGCTCCATCCGTGTTACCGTGAATAGCATGAGTTTGTCTTTTTTGATTGCTGAATAGTATTCTGGTTTCCTCATTCTTAGGCTGGGAACAGTAGCAGCTATTTGTGAGCACTGGAGACAGCTCCTCTAATAGCCCTCACCATCCACCTGGCTCATAGGAAGCATTCTGTAATGCCACCAATTATCATTTTGTTATTTTTATTATTCACTTTCATATCTTAATTTTAAGTATTTAATATTTTGGCATTTCACTTTCTTAATGAAAGGCAAAAGTCAGAGACGGAGATAGTGACTTTGAAAGTTGACATCGCTGTGCCACCTCCAAATTTGAGTCCTGGCTCTACCACTGGAGTCAGTACCCCGCTGAGCCTCAGGTTCCTCACCTATAAAATGAGGGCACAAAGTGACATCCCCTGCCCCTGGGGTGGTGGACTAAGGGAGAGGGGAGCTTCATTTTGCAAATGGCAGGAGTGGCAGTGATATTGGAGGGAGTAGCCCTCAGGGTCCCGGAGCGAGGCCTCCCCTACAAACTCTGCAAGTGCTGGATGCCAGACTCAGCTGTTCTCCCCTCTGCAGATCTTCTCGCTGGGTTACTGCCCCACTGGGGAGTGGCTGGCCGTGGGCATGGAGAGCAGCAACGTGGAGGTGCTGCACCACACCAAGCCCGACAAGTACCAGCTGCACCTGCACGAGAGCTGTGTCCTCTCCCTCAAGTTCGCCTACTGTGGTGAGCCAGGGGACCCGGGCCTGGTGGGGGTGTGGGAGCTCCTGAGGTGTCTGGCTGGCCCACAATGTCCCTATGAGAAGCACAAAGCTTACAGAATGGGTCTTGGATCCAGGCCTCCTGTCCCTGACTGGTATCCTTCTGGTGCTCGTACCCCCACCTTTGTGCCTTAGATGCAGATACTGCCACAGGGCACCAGGTTCCCCTGACACCAGGCCAGACTTTACCAACCTGGGGCAGGGGAATGGCACTTGCAGCTCCGCAGGGAGGTCGTCTGGGTGGTTTGACCATGGGCATTAAGGTCTGGTAGCCCTGACTGGAAATGTCTGCCCCTCTACTGATGAGCCATGCGGCCCTGAACCCCTTGTCCTCTGAACCCCATGGCCTTTTTCTGTGGACTGAGAATAGGAGGGCAGCACTGCCACATGGCTTGGAGGGAATGTTGGTGTGTTAACACACTCACGGTCTTGACAGTGCTGGGGCCGGGTCTCCTGCCTTGGGTTTGCTTGTTTCCCACACTGGACGCTCTCTAGTAGAATATAGAAGGATCAGTTCACCTTAGTAGCTTTAAAAGGAATCTTTGGGGGAAGTGTAGTAGCTGCAGTTAACTGCAAATGCTACTGCTCCTTTTCCAACCCTCCCCTTGATTGCAGAGGCAGCATTCTTACTGCCTGCGTGGGTCTTACATGACTTGGTTACAAAGTGCCTCTCGGGCCTTCCTGGTGGCACACAGAGTTAAGATGCAACCTATGGAGCTATCCTCAGCCACTGAACACGAGTTCGATCCCCAGCTGGCCAGGAAGAGACCCACATGACACAGCAGACCTCTCTTGACTCGCCCGCTGCTCCCCTCAGCAGTGTATTTCAGTCAGTCTGCCTCTTCTGCTCCTTGCTCTGTCTCCGGTGAATCCTCTCACCCCCCACACCTCTGACCTGTGCCCCAGTTCTTGTATGCATAAATAAATAAATTTTTTTAAAAAAGCGCCTCTCACAAGAGGAGTGCGGTGTGGCACGCCGCTTAGCAGTTCACGCCACATTTCCATGGCAATTGACCATGCCCGGGATAGGAGGGCTGGCTTTGGAGGGCAACAAGGCCACAGCTTGACCCTTCCCATGCCTCCCACCCACAGGCAAGTGGTTTGTGAGCACTGGGAAAGATAACCTTCTCAACGCCTGGAGGACCCCGTATGGAGCCAGCATATTCCAGGTATCACCTGCCATTCCAGTGCCTGATTCTGCCCGGCAGTGGGGGTAGGGGCAGGGTGGTGGGAGGCAGATCAGAGACCCTGCTCTGGCCTCTGCCAGCCCCTACCTGATGGGGGTCCAAAGTTGAGTTCCAGAGATGAGGACCTGGTTACACCAGCAGGCACACGTGCTGCTGTTCATGCCTTCTGTGCTCTGCAGGCCAAAGCTTTTAAGCAGGGACTCTTGTAGGATTTTTAGCACGGAGCACACAGTGCCCTGCTTTGGCCTGTATTCTGAGTGCTCATGGAAATTGCACAGTTGAATAAAGCCGGTTTACTGCACACCGGCAGCTTTTTTTCAGAGCATTGTTACAGCTCAACACTTTCATGTTAGGAGGTCGCTGGGCAGGGAGACAAAGATGGAAGAGAGGGCAGAGGCTTTAATAATTAAAGTTTCTCAAGAGCTGATGCTCAATATATAGCACTCCCTCTCTCTCTCACACACACACACACACACACACACACACACAATCACACAATCACACGCATAGTGTGAATCCATGCTGGAACTTGTCCAGGGTGTCACCCACATAATGTTGAGTGTCTGGCTACACCCGATGCTTTCGAGCTCAGGTGCAAAGCCTTCCCTTAGCCCACCAGGCTGAGGATCAGGCCTGCTGGCTGCCCCAGCTCAGAAAGGCTTCTTCCCACTTGTAAACTGAGCAGAGAGGCTCACGCTCAGGTGTCCGTGTTAAAGATCACATTGGCCCCTGTGGCGAGCGGCTCTGCGGCAGAGCAGGTAAAGAGGTCATTGTCACCGAGAGTGCTTCTCCGCAGACTTCTAAGCGCCGGTGACCTCATCTCTGCTGTGTGAGCTCGGGGTTGGAGCAGTGAAAGGGTGTTGAGTACTGAGAAAGTGAAATCCTGTCTTCCCCCCCCCACCCCCCCTGCTTTTCCTTCTCCAGTCTAAGGAATCCTCATCTGTCTTGAGTTGTGACATTTCGGCGGATGACAAATATATTGTAACAGGCTCTGGTGACAAGAAGGCCACGGTTTATGAGGTCATCTACTAAACAAGGACTCTAACAGGGCTGTCAAACTCTGGGAGAAACAGACTCGGCTGTGACAGGGAGACCCCGGCAAGGGGCCCCCGAGGACGGCGGAGGACGGGCGGCGAGCAGCCGAGCGTCCCAGGGCTGAGCTCCGGCTGGCTGCGAGGGCGCGTGCCCCGTCACGGTCCTGACTCCTGGGCATGGATTGATGTGTCTCGCAGACTCGGTGGATTTCTCTTCTCCTCCTCCCCCGTAACAATCCTGGCAGATGTTACAAATAGATTTATTTGGAGGCTCCTGGCTCCAGTTCCCTAGACCCCTTCATGACTCTCTCTTCCCCTCTCTCCCCTTTCTTTTGACCTGTACCCCTGCCCTGGGTCGGGGACACTGGAGTGGACCACATTTTTGTGCTGGGGGAGGGAGGGATCTCATTTTCCCAGTTGTGCAGCGCACAAGATTTGTGAAAAATGTACATAACAGACTCCTATCTTGGACTGGTCAGTGGGGGAGGCACCCCCTTCCCACCGGACACGCTAGCTGTGTATTTCGCCTGCTGTATTTGTAATCCACTCGTGGTGGTGGTTTTTTGTTTTGTTTTTATGAAACAAGTTCCCGTCTGGGAAAGGGAAGTACAGGGAGGGACAGACAAATGGAGAGGGGGGTGCCATGGGGAGGAAGATCTTGGGGTAGAGGAAGGAAACGCAGGTGGCCACCAGATCAACCATCAGATGCCCCTGGAACAAGCCTCCGTGTGGACTGGGGAATTGTCCCAGACGTGTCAGGGTGAGACGCCAGACAGACGGCGGACAGACGGTACTTGAGACGGGCCAGCCTGGGCCAGTGTGGACAGAAGCACAGGTTCTCTGTGCGCTGCGTCTGCCTTCCACCCCCCTCCTCTCCCGCTCTCTCAGGTGTCTGTTGTGTTCGCGCGCTCCCTCTCCTCAGCCTCGGTTTCCCTTTGGTGCATACGTGGTTATCCTGACGAGCAGTGGAAGTTCAAGGCGACTCCCTCTCCTTCCCTTCTTAATCTTGGACACAACCTATAAAAAGGATAAAAAGTTAGAGGAAAGCATAGCAACTCAGCTCAGGGAGCTACAGAGAAAAATAGAAACTGATGTGGGTGCTTTTTTTTCTTTTAATTTGAATAAAAAGAATTAGAAGTGATGTCTTTTTATAAAATAAATGCCTTCTCCTCTTTGCTGCCAGTGACCCCTTACTCTCTCCTTAGAGGGGGGAGAGTGTATTTAACCTGCAGAGCTGCTAGTCTGCAGGGCAGCGGGCTGAGGGGACAGACACTCTGGTGACTTCTTGCAGCTTTCGGTGTCAGGAGCCCAGCAGGTTAAGGTAGGCTGTCGTCCCCTGCAGGTGCCACTTTTTGGCACCCAAGTGTTCTGAGGTATTAGGATTTGGGTTGTTTTCTTTTGGTCTTTTATTTTTTTCTTCTTTTAAGGAAAAGCTAAAGGCCGTCATGAGTCCTGGTGTGGGCTCTCCGTGGATGTAGCATATGGAAGATAATTTTTATACTGCATTTTTATGGATTATTTTATAATGTGTGATTCTGTCTGGAGAGAAGGAAGGGGGTGTCCCGTGAAAAACTGCCCGACTTAAATGATCTTGCTCCCCGGTGAGCATTCCCCTCGATGTGACATGTGACGTGAGGCCGAGGTGCCCTGTACCTTTCTGAGGTCGGGGGAGGGTGTCTAGAGTCTCTCTCTCTCTCTTTCTCTCTCTCTCTCTCTCTCTGGGTCTCTGATGTTCATCTGCCACCTCATGTTAAGGCTCTAGCCACAAGGGAGGCCAAGGGTAGAAGAAAATTGATTCCTGAAGAAAAAAGAAAATGAAAAGTCATTGTAATGAGCTGTTTTTATATTTTTAAAAGTTACTATTTAAAGGTTGGCTTGATTGTTGTGTTTTAATTGCCTCACTTGCCCCTACCCCAGCCCTTAGCCGTCAGTCAGAAGCCTTGCCGCCTCACCTTCTCTGTCACCCCTCAACATGAGTTCTTCTCATTTCAAGACACCATGCTGCTCCCAGCCCCCAAAAGCCAGATCCTGCAGGATAGTTGGGGGGTGGGGTGGTTTCATAAGATCAGGTCCTCTACAGTCTAAGCACCCACCTAGGGATTGTTCGGGAAGCGGCTGGTACTCCTCCACAGGCAGCGGCCTCCCCTGAGGGGAGGGCCGCGGGTTAACACAAAAGTCTAGTACAGCTGCTGGTGCCAAACTTTTTGGAAAAAAAAATGAAAGGGGACAAACATGAAATTGCAGTGTCTGAACATCTGGATCCTGAAAACCTGTGTCTTTTTTTTTTTTTTTTTTTTGAAGCTTAACTTGGATGTTAGGGGAAGACCCTCAATCCCCAGGGCGCGCGGAGCTTTGGTTTTGAAGGCTTTGGGAGCAGGGGTTTGCAGAAGCGCTGGGACAGAATGTAGCACCCCAGGGAGGCAGGGCTGGGCTTGGGTGGATTTCAGGCACCCCTAAAACTGGGCAATAACATGGTTTCCAGCTCCTCATTTTGTCCGTCACTATAAATCAGCACAAACTCACTTCACACAAGAAAGGGAATTTGACATTCTTTATAAGGAGTGATGGTCAGACTAAAGCACAGCCTTCATTCTAAGCCTAGAAAGGACAGCTGGGCTGCACATGGGCCATTCAGCTCTCAGGCTTCATTCTCAGGGAATCTTCTAGCAGGCAGCAGGAACACTGCAGTTTACCATTTGGATCAGCTGTGTGCACCCTTCATACCACACGTTCCTCGACTGTCCAGGTCCACACCTGGCGGCAGAGGGCTGAGGGGCCGGTGGCAGGCTCTGCCGGGACATTCTATGTGCTGGGAGTACTCTTCAGTACCAAGATGGGGGGGAGTTGGGGCCTGCAGACCCCAGTAAGGGAAAGGGCAAGATATCCTTCAGTGTATTCCCCATTCCGTGGCTGAAAAACAGTTCTACCAATTTCCTGGCAGTCACAAGTGGGGTGATGACCCAGATTCAGTCCCAGCCCTAAACACGACTGTAGTGGGGGCAGCTCACAGCCCTTCATTTGGCCTGTTTAAACTGTGCTGGGGACCCATCCTTCAGCCCCAGCGGCTTGCGTCTGTACTCCTGCCTGTGCTCACTGCCAGTGGCCACGGCCAAGTTCTGGCCTCCATGGATTAGCAGCTGCACAAGCTCCCCCTCTGCTCCCCCCACCCTCTGCTCCCTCTGACGCTTTTCCATGAGCTCAGCCCAGCCTCCCAAAGCCTACTGATACTGTATCCTAACCATCTGAGGGCGAATCCTCTGCTCTTGGAAGCTGGGGAGACTCTAGTCTAGAGTGAGGGGCCCACTCATGGTAAACAATAACTCCATCCTTAATTCCCCCAGGTCGCCCCTGCCCCCTACTCAACAAGGTGGCAGGAAGCTTTGAAACCATTTTTCTAGTCTTTTTTTTTTTTTTTTTTTTTAAAGCTACCCTCTATGATTATCTTCCTTCTGTGTAAAAGTCCAAGTTCGTGCCCAGTCGTGGCAGTGGCGATTTACTACGCAGCTCGGCTAGTTTGCCTGGAGGGCAGCACACAGCTGGTGTCGGCCCAGGACAGTCTTTTGACCTGTGACCTTTCACTAGTTTAAGAGGCTCCTGTTCTCAGGGCAGGCCTTCCAGCCTTACTAACTGAAGCCATGGAGAAGTGAACTGACTTGGGCCCATCGGCTCTGTTGTGCAACCTCTGCTTGAAGCAGATTTGTTTAGACAGAGGGCCTGGTTGTTAGAAGCTAGTTTCCATCATGGTAGATGACATGGGTTACGTACCAGTGTGCAGGTCATCGCTGGCAACAGCTGACAGCACCCCTCCTGGCCTCTCTGAGTCACTGCCCTACTCTGTCCCCCTACCCATGACCCTGGCACAGGCGGTACCTGGGAGGGGAGGGGGAGCGTTTGGGGAAGGTACCAACCTCTGGATGCTGCCTCCGGAAGGGTCCTTAGCAAGGCCGTTAAATGGTATGAACTGGCCATGGAAATCCCCTGATGGTGAAGTGCATGGTTTTTAACGTAGTGTTTGACAATGAGCATTATTTTAAATATAAAATATAGCAAACAAATCTGAATACGTTTTTTAACTTGCATGGCTAGATATCACCTGATGTGTTTGGTGAAGGTAAAATGTATTCTATTCCAGCACTCGAGACATTTTAAACACTGCAACAAAATTGGATCTTTTGTATTTGAAGGGACGTCTATATCCAGCTTCTGGTTTTATAAATGGGACAATTAAGGCCCCAAAGGGCAAGTGGCTTGAGTCACAGCCCGAAATGAGATTACCACTCCTCCCCCTCCTCTAGCCCCTTGGCACACTCTTAGTGAGGGAGGACAGGAAGCCAGGAGGGAGCTGCCCACTATGCAGGGCAATGTAGTATTACAGGATTATTATGCAGGGGATGAGCCTCCTGTCCCTTCACCAACAGGACTGGTCAGAAAATTTCTCCTGGAAGGCAATGGCCTGCAATGGCCATAAAAACCAACCTCCTGCCTTGAGAACAGCCACCTATCTTGCCCATGCTTCCATCTATCCATCCACTCATTCTATTATCCATCCACTCATTCTATTATCTATCCACCCATCACTACACTCTCTCATCTACCTACCCATACATTTGCCCCTCATCACCCACTCATCCACCCATCTGCCTGCCCACCCATCCATCCATCCAGTCATCCATCACCACCTACTCATCCATCTATTCGTCCCTATATGTAACCCATGGACTCATTTCTTCAACCACGCATGCATCCATCCATCTAGCCACCCATTCATCCAAGAAGTATATAATGAGAATCTAGCATGTGCCAGCTAGCCATAGTTTGTAGATGGCTGGGGTGCAACAAATAGGGCATAATGCTTGCCCTCAGAACTCTCAGTCAGCTGGGAGAAATACTCACTTAAACTGGCGATTACAATCATGAGATGTGAAGGCACAAGCCAGAAGATGTCCCAGTGCAGACATTAATCTGAGAGCAAAGGTTCCTGGAAGGAGTGAACTCAATGGAGACCTAATGAACACAGACTCATCATAACAACGTGGTAGGAAGCAGTGTTCCAGGTAGAGGGCACAGCATGTGCTATGACCTGGGAGAGGACACCATTGTACCCCTCTGCCATCTCCCCATCTTGTCTACTTCCTTCTCCTCCTCTGCTCTAACACTAATCCAGGTGCTTCAGTCCAATTCCTACAGCCTCTCCCTGGCCAGTATCCAATGCGGAATCCAGGCAAGGACTCTGGGCTGACTTGGGCAGATGACAGGGTTTTCACCTGAGCCAGGAAAGGCAGAGGGATG